ATCTTTAAATTTCTGATGTCTTTAATATCTGACCCTGCTACTAACATGTCATCGACATAAAGTAGAAATATGATATAGCTGGACTCATATTTCTTGAAAAGACAACAGTGATCAACATTGCACTTCTGGAAACCTTCCTTGTGCATGAAGCTTTCAAACTTCCTATACCACTGTCTTGGAGCTTGTTTTAGGCCGTACAAGTTCTTCTTCAATCTGCACACCATATCCTTCTTTCCTTCAGAAAAACCTTCAGGCTGGTTCATATAGATCTCCTCATCTAGGTCTCCATGAAGAAATACAGTCTTCACGTCTAATTGCTCTAGGTAGAGCTCTTCACTAGCCACAATACTTAACACAGTCCAGATAGTATTGAGCTTTACAGCTGGAGCAAAGATTTAAGTATAGTCAACTCCTTCTTTCTGCTGAAATCCTTTGACAACCAGTCGGGCTTTATATCTCCTGGAACCATCATGGTCTTCCTTCATCCGATACACCCATTTGTTGTGAAGTGCTTTCTTTCCTATGGGTAACTTGACTAGTTCCCATGTCTGATTTGAGATCAAGGACTTCATCTCGTCCTTCATGGCAAGCTCCCACTTGCTAGCATCCGGGGTTTGACAAGCCTCCTTATAATCTTTAGGTTCTCCTCTATCAGTCAACAACATGTAGTCCATGTATCTCCTGTTAGGTACATGGGGCCGAGAGGACCTTCTCAATACAGGAGTTGAAGTAGAAGGTTCTGATTGCTCACCGCTTTCTTCATTTGATTCCTCTGACTGAGGACTCTTCATTATAGGACTGTCTGGGATATCTTCCACCTAAACTAGCCCACTCGCTTCTGAGTTGCTGGCGTTTGTGTTATGTCGATCCTTGTACATCACTATTTCATTAAAGATCACATCTCTGCTGCGGATCATCTTTTTGTTTTCATCATCCCATATGCGTTAGCCAAACTCATCTTCACTATAACCAAGGAAAGTACATTTCTTTGATTTTTGATCAAGTTTTTTCTACCTTGATCACTGATGTGCACATATACTGCACACCCGAAAACTCTGAGATGTGAGAGTTTTACTTCTTTTCCGCTCCATACCTCTTCTGGTAACTTGTGATCCAATGGTACGATGGACTTCGGTTGATCAAGTAAGTTGCTGTGTTGACTGCTTCTGCCTAGAACTGCTTTGGTAGGCCTGATTGCACACGCAAGCTTCTGGCTCTTTCAGTCAACGTTCGACTCATACGCTCAGCTACGCCATTGTGTTGAGGCGTACCAGGCACAATTCTCTCCATCCTAATCCCGTGCTCATAGAAAAACTTCTTGAATCTGGTGGTTATGTATTCACCACCATTGTCGGATATGAGCTTCTTGATCTTCAAGTCTGTCTCATTTTCCACCATAGCTTTCCAAATCTTGAAAGCTTCAAATACTTCTGACTTGTGTTTCAGAAAGTAAACCCATACCTTTCTGGAGTGATCATCGATAAAAGCCACGAAGTATTGCTTCCCACCAACGGATGGGATAGTCGTTCGACCCCAAACATCGGAGTGGACAAGCTCAAGCTTCTCCTTCTTTGGGGTTCTTCTACTTGTCTGAAAGCTGACTCTCTTCTGCTTTTCAAGTATACAGTCTTCACACATGTCAATTTCTATTGACTGGAGGCCTGGTAATTTTCCTTTTGAGTGAATGATCATCATCCCTTTTTCACTCATATGCCCAAGTCTTTGGTATTGGGACTTTCATTTGTTGCAACTGCAATCAGATGACATGCTCCTTTGGTCTTGTAAAGAGTACCACTCTTTTTGCCTCGAGCAATTGTCATCGCACCCTTTGAAATCTTTCAATCATTACCATGGAATATTGTCGTGTAGCCTTCACTGGCTAGCTGGCCTACGGAGATTAAATTCTTCGTCAGGTCGGGAATATGTCTGAAATTTTTCAATTCCCAAACAGACCCGTTCAACTTGATTTTTACTGCACCTTTGCCGACAACCTCACATGATTGCTCATTACCAAGGTAAACTTTACCAAGTTTTCCAGGAACATAATTCTCGAATAGTTCCTTCTGTGAGGTAGCATGAAAGGCTGCTCCAGATTCTAACACCCAAGACTCTTCTCTGTTCTCCAAAGAACATATCAGCGAATCTCCTCTAGAGGTTGAAGCAATATTTGCCTCTTCTTTTGTCTCCTAACCCTTTGATGCACTCTTGCACTGATTTCTGTAGTACCCGGTCTTCCCACAATTCCAGCACTCGATCGACTTCGAGTTTTGGGAATTACGATGATTTCTGGACCTGGATCTTCTTCCTTTTGATTTGATATGTCTGCTTTCTTTGGTTGAACTTCTTCCTCTCGACTCTGTATGCAATACAGAAGAGGTTGATGGTTCACCCGACTCCCTCCGCTGGATCTCTTCACTGGGAACCAAATTTTGGACATCATCAAATCTCAACTTATTGCTTCCCGATGAGCTACTCACAGCTGTGACTGTAGCATTCCAGCTTTCTGGTAGGGAAGAAAAAAGTATTAAATCTCGTACTTCATCATCGAACTCGATCTCAACTGAACTGAACTGGGTTGTAACTGTGTTGAGTTCATTGAGATGATTTGCCACCAGAGCACCTTCGTTCATCCGTAGGTTAAACAATCGCCTCATCAAATGGACTTTATTTGAGGCTGATGGTTTCTCGTACATGTTGGAAAGCCTTCATGAGGCCTGCCGTCGTCTTTTCTTTTGCAATGTTAAAAGCAACGTTACGGGACAACGTCAGCCGAATGGCTCCAAGGGCTTGTCTGTCAAGGAGACTCCATTCTTTCTCCCTCATGTCCTCTGGCTTCTTTTCCGTTAGTGGTTGATACATATTCTTTTGGTACAGATAATCCTCGATCTGCATCTTCCAAAAGCCAAAGTCCGCACCATCGAACTTTTCAATTTTCATTTTTCCTTCGTCTGCAGCCATCAGTTTGACTTTGATCTGACGACTTCTCTGTCGGATCGTTTCTGTAAATTTTGTGAACTACCGTGTTTAAGAACACGTCAGTTGATAAATTTGTAGCGCCGACAAATTTGACACTATTAACGTTTTTCACTATTCACGGAATAGTAACCCACAAAAAAAAATACAGAATTAACAATCTGGCTCGGATACCAATTATTGGGAAAAATACGCTGAATTTTCCATGAAGTCGGATCTATAAAAGTGAAATAAAAAGGAAAAATTTGAACACACCAAATTGATAACGGAGTTCGGCCAATAATGCCTACGTCTCCGGACTACTCAGATGTTTTATTGGAGAAAAAGAAATACACTCGTGTTTACAAAACACTCTTAAACTCACTCACAACCCGCAACACAAATACACACATAAGCTAAAATTTTCGCTTCTTGTTCACTCTCTTTTTCTCTCTTTCTCTCTTGTGTTGGTGTGTTGTTCATCAGAATTTGTTCCTCTATTTATAGAGGAAAGAGTACATCAATTTCAATATATGTGTACTTCATTTTTCAACATGTGTGGGCTACAGCTTTTTTTCAACAACCGGTTGCTTCTCTTCATTGTCACCAAAGGCTGCTTCATTTATTATGTCAGAGAAAGAGGGCAGTTGCCTTTCTTGACTCAACAGAGTGTCCTTAGAGCATCTTTATCAATGAGGTTTTGAGTGAGGTTTAAAAATTTAAACCTCACTTTTGTTATTACAGTAGGCAGCTTTGAGGTTTGTGAAGACAAACCTGGTTTGTGAAGACAAACATGTAAAAGTAAAAAAAAAAAAAAAA